GGAGGTCAGAGGGAAATCGTGGCACCAGAGTTGATATCTCTATTCAAAAGCCGTACTGGCAACCTGGTTGCTCTGAATGCAGCCCAATTATTTCAATCCTGGGAAGGGGAAGAGGGGAGAAAGGGGAGCACAAAGAGAGAAAAATGGGTTTGACATTCAGGCCGGTCGGGCAGAGGGAGGTAACAAGTTCACGGCCCTTTCAGAAAACATGGCCGCCTGCTGTGTGATGGACGATGGAGCCTCAGATGGGACATCAGGGGTGGGATCTAGGCCGAAATGCATGGGAACCCAGTCTCGAGAGATAAAAGGGAGTTATCCTCCTGCTTAAATAAATGAACTCTCAGATAAAAGAAGCTCCAAAGGCTTTCTGAGCCGACCCATATGGAGCAACAATGCTACATCAGAAAAGGCTTCTTATTGCACTCCACAGCATGCAGACATGGACAGGTTCATTCACTGTTGGAGATCTTTACATTTATTTTATTTTAAAGTAAAAGAGGCCACATATGAGTTGTGATACAAAAAAAATTACAAAGAAAAAGTGAAAACCTCGTAGACTGCCCAGGTGATCTTATAATGCCTCTGGAGATTTGGCCGTCACAATAAAAATATAAATATGATGGAAGAGTTGTCCAAAAGAATCAAGTACGTTGAAAAACTGCTTGTTTTTTTGCATCATACCAGCGTTACTATCAAGGTGTTGTTAATCACATTTTAATGAAATAATAAAAACTCACTGCGATTGACATCTGCCTTGCCCAGCACATAAAGGTACTCTGAGAAAAGGAGTCTGTTTTAAATTATGTCTGAGAACCAGAAGAATAATTAAAGTTAAATAAAAGATTTAATAATATCTTTTGCAGCATGTCAAAGAGTTATGGAAAATGTTTTTTTGCTATCATATCGTAGTTAGCAAACTAATGCAATCTTTGCTGAGATGCCAATTCTTCTCAGACTTATGAAAGCATCCCTTAATCACTGCTTTGTGTTGTTATCCAAAGCTTCATTATTGCACAACTCAACTCAACACCTGCTTCTGAAAACTGCCCGTTAATGGTCCAAACGCCATATCAACAGTGAGCAGTACTTGGCCTGCACTTAAAGACTTAACAGATCCCACACATGACGACTAATAATGATGGATTTAACTGCTAACCACACACTAACACAGGCTCTCCCAACCTTGGAATTCAAATGGGGTCGCCTAAAATGTTTATTTATGAATCAACAAAAGATACATTGTATATTAAAATATAGTGAACACAAAACAAGAAACTTTCAGAGTGTCTGTCTGTCGTCCATTCTGCAGAAATCTCATCTCGGCCTTTCTTCTTCTATCCAGAGTTTAGTGAAGTCAGAGCGACAAGCCAGAAACGATTGCACTAAGAGAATCCCTCACCAACAGTCTTCACCCTAAAACTGGAGATGTTGCTGAATCTCTTCAAATCAGTAAAACAGTCAAACAAACTGGTGGACGATGAACTGGAACCGTTTTCGTTATCTACTTTTTTACTGAAAATTCTCAAATGTTTTTTTGTCTACTGCTTAAAATTGATTTCCTGCAGCTGTTGTGTTTCCGCAACAACTGCTCGCGTCCCAGTCTGCTATCGCTTCTTTGATATGTCAATCCACAGAGTCGGCTGCCCTCGGGGTTCCCCTCACACTACAGAAGATCTGATCGAAAAAATATTGAACACGTTTAATATTTACGCCCCTGACATTCTTCTGAGCAGAATGGAACAGGAAAATCTGTCAAGATCATCTTTAGACCATCAAACAATCGTGACTTTAACTTAATCTTTGTTGGGGGGGGGGGTGAGGCCCAAAATCCTCCTGATTATCTTGTAGAGTGGACCCTGCTTAACACTGTGACAGAGTGTGCCTCTGCTTGACTGTGATTGGTTTGTGGAATTAAGTGCATAATTTTGTCATAAATATCCAACATTAACTAAGTTTAAAGAAACTTAAAGACAATATTTCATATTTGGACTATAACAGAAATCTGAAGTTATTTTGGTATCTCTACTAAACAGAAAATAAGAACAAATGTTTCATTATGAGAAGTCTTTTAGGAACTTATCTGTACTATCTTCATGTGTATTTTTCTGTTCCTAATAGACATTCACTGTTGTGTCTTGTAGCTGCTGTGACTTGGTGATTCCCTTCAAAGAATAAAAAGTATCTCTCTTTGACAGTCTCATAATATAGAGGAGCTTAAAGAAACCAAAACGTTCATTATTTAAACTTTAGAATTTAGTTTATCAACATGCTCTTTTCTTTTCTATTACACAATTTTAAAATCTTAATTTTCTAATTTTTAAATTAAAATCAATTCAAACCTTAACCTAACAGTAAAAAAAAAAAATGGTTTCATATTAAAATCCTGTCTCCACACTCAGGACGTCCGGAGAGGCTGCAAGCTGAGCTACCGATAACGACACAACGGACACTTTTCAGGTTGAGTCCTTCATTGTTAATCATTCCTGAGGTTGTGGGAAAGGGTATTAGAAGAAGTCTCTTTTGTCTTCAGAACAAACAAGTCCATTGATTAAAACTTAAACCAATTGGATATCTGTTTCTGTTGTGTCTGCTGTTGGTTTGGGTTTCCAGAGAATTTCATGAAAACAATAAAAATCAATAAAGTATTGAATTACCATTACCGGGAAATTAGGAGTGACATGTTCAAATATTCTGCCTTTTTGTCTGAATTATAAGTCAAACCTTGAACATGTTGTATCAAGCATTTCCCAAAATGCACTTCCCCTTTATTAAACCACATTAGCTTGTCTGTCAAACTACAGGCCCCCGGTTTGAAGACAGGATGTTTCCTTTCAGCCACACAGGAGACTTCATCAGAAAACTCAAACGTTGTTGTTGTTGCAAATGTGGAGGAGTGATGTGTGTTTTTTTGTCTGAAACAGAATGAAAATAACAAAAAAGTGATCTGGCAAAAAGAGAAAGTGTGACTGAAACGTCATTATTTTAGGCTAAATAAAAATCCCCAGCAGGATCCTTAACAAAGCAACGAGATCACGCTGAAATAATGAGTGTGTGTGTGTGTTTATGAAGGGTCGAGCAAAAACAAGTGTCCAGTCAATGCAGACTTTTAGATGTTTCACAATGAAGTGTTTTCAAGACGAGACTGTCAATGCCACAATCTGTCCTTTAAAATATATTTTTTTATCCTTTCTTCAAAAGTTGTGAAAAAGTACTTAAAAACTGAAGAGAAATAAAATCTGAACTGACTCACAAACTCAGCCTTACAGAGAATCTTTGATGTAGACGCAGAGGGTCACTGAGAGTCACAATGAACTCTAATCCTTCCTTAAAATCTATATCAACAAAAAAAACCTGTTTGAAGCGCGCTTGAGTATAAAACTTATTAAATACTGTCAGAAAAAAAAGCATGAGGATGGAGCAGAGAGGATGTGAGGTATGTTAGAGATGACGACAACAGACACAGAGGAGAGGAGGCCGGGATGTGTTATAAAGACAAAAATATCCTTCACTTTTTTTTTTTTAAGACATAAAACAATGTGAGAAATGATGTCAAACCACAACAATATCTGTTAGTCAAAGCACACAGAATAATGTGCTTTAAATACGCCGATGTGGGAGGATAAGCTCAGTTATTGAGATCAATGAATTGTCATTTTACAAGCAAATTATTATAAATTTGATTTCTTTTTTTTTTAAATAGAACGTTTCCAGCATCTCAAACAAAGATTAAAGGTTTTTGTCTTAGAAATGCCCCGTCAATAAATTGGTGACCAGATAAAACAATAAATATGTAAAGGACACATTTGACTCTCAGGGAAAAATGTGTAGGAAAACTTAAAGAAAGAAATCAGAATGTTTAAGAATATAGAAAGTAAACACTATAGCTGAGTAACTAAAAGAAATGTTTACATGGAAAAATAAGAAAAATGCAAGGTGGGCGTATTAACATCATAATAATAATAATATAAGTAGTGCTTCTGTGCAATAGTATCCTCGCTGTGCGCCACTTTAACAGCATGAGGAATAATAAACCTGTCAACAAAGGGTCTCCTGGGAGGCCTCTGCTGACACTCGGCTGTCAGCAGCAAAGCATGCTGGGATAGCTAATGGGGACAGGCCCTCGGGGTTGCCTCGGACAAAGGACGACCCCAGACAGGTGAGCGGTCTGACATGTGAAATAACGAGTCCTCCTCCCTGAACTTTGTTTCATTAAAGTCACAAACTGATCGGCACTTCTATTATTTCTATTTCTATTGGATGATGTAACTCCACTCTGATTAAATCCAATAATATTATTGGAATGAAGGTAAAGTATTAGTTGAAGGGAATACATTAAGTGATAAAACATTGCTTACTGCATCATTCTGAAAGCAGAAATGCATTAAAAAAAATTACCAAAAAAAATCAGCACAACAAATCAGATCAGACGTTGACTCACCGATCAAATAAAAAATATAAATATTGACATTTAAAAAATTAATCTTGAAACAGAAAGTCACAAATCCGTAGAAAACTCCATTCACTAAATTCCACATTTAATCCTCTCTTCCTACCTCCGTGGAATCATCCTCCCACACGTGAGCACCCATCCTATGGTGCGTCTCTGTGATTTCACCTTTCCCAAAACCACGTGGCCGCTGCATTCGGCAAGTTTTTCTTCCCCTGAACACGTGTGAACACGCATGTGAACATCTGAGCTGATCAACTAAACTGTTCCCATATGTAGCCCTGAGGGGGGAGCAGCAGCTGGAGTTTCACTGCGAGCTGTGTGGGTGACACCGGTCACACAGGGTGCTTGCTGACAGGCTGTCATTCAGGCTGTCCCGTTACAAATTCAGAAAAATACTAACTCATTCTTTTTTTTTTTTTAAATTCAGATTACAAGCAGATGTAAAAGCAGTGTTTGCATGCGGAGAGAAGTCGGGAGTTTGGAGCAGAGAAAGCAGGTGAAAGAGAGAAAAAAAGGGAGAGCAGTGGTTTGGTGTTTCCTCAGCACTGACCTGCACACACAGCAAACACAGCAGCGGTCAGCCTCTCATCTTCTATCTCTTCTCACATTTCACTCTCCAGCTCCTTCCTTCACTGCCTTTTGAAGTTGGTACCCCCGTTACTTCTGAGGAAAAAGTCGTTTGCAGAGGAGGGCATGTTTCAGAGGAGGAGGGAGAAGTCTTCCTCTCTTGTCTTTCTTTCCTCTTCTTCTTCTTCTTCTTCTTCTTTTTCTTTACTTCCCCTTGTTCTATTATGCACCAGCTGAAGTCTACACCTCCTCCTGCTGCTCTTCCACTGCAAAAAAAAAGAAAAGATCTCTCCACACACTCACCGCTGAGGGAGAGGAGGAGAAAAATAACACTGCGAGAGAGAAAGAGAGGGAGCTCAGTCACCTCGTCTCCCTCCTGTTCAAATTTAGAGGCTCTACTGGGCATGCCCACAACTGAGAGGCACACTTTGTAACACTCACTTCCTCCCTTCCTGTTCTTGCCTTCTCCCCCCTCCTCCTCCTCCTCCCTCACATCCCTCCCTCCCTTCCTCCTCTCTCTCTCTCTCTCTCTCCCCGCTCTCCCTGCAGCTCCCAGTCCAGCAGGGATCAAAAACGCTGCTCAGACTAAAGTCCATCCAGCTCGAAGACAAGACAAAATAAACAAAGTATACAAAGGCGAGACAAAGATGATAAATGTCTCAATCAGAAACTAACTTTTACTGCAATAACCCTTTAAAACCATGTCATTCAATCTCATGAGCATATGATGGCTGTGTAGACGTCAGTGTTCTAATATTTAATCCAAAACTAATAAATGATGACTCAAACAACCAGCAAACAGAAAAAAAGGTCTATTTTCAAAATGAAATGTGCTCCTGTGAACGATCTCCTGCAGCACTCCTGCACACACAAAGATAGAAAACATGATCTGAGAGTGAGGAGTGATGTTTTTTCAAAGCAGCCAAAGCAGACATTTGACTCTTTCCTTCCTTTTTGTAACATAATAACTGCACCGTGGCTCCTGAGTCTTCCTTCATGTGTGTACATTTCTTTTTCCCCTTATTTGTTTTTTAAATATATATATATATTTTAAATGGACAGTGAATATGTTGTTTGTTCTCCTTTTTTTCCCATCTTGAAAATGCACTTGCATGTAAAACAAATATTTGTCTTCCCTTCTTTATAAAACTAAGGAGACAATTTCCCCTTAATGAACCAATAGCTTTTTGAATTCAGCCGACTTATTGGGAAATATTTTCACATGATTTCTCATTTAAGAATTAAATTTCAACTTTCAATTTAGTGCACGCTTACTGAAGATTTACTGCTTTTTTTATTGTCTTTTAGTTTATTTGCAAACATTTTGGGCAAATTTATGTTTTTATTTTACTGTTGAGAAATGTGAATTTTAGATCAAATTTTGAACTATAGCGTAATTTACATTTGTGAAATCTTTTTATAACTTTTCCTAAGATACAGAAGCCCTAAGCTGACATACATCCATTCATTTATTTTACTTTATTTCGAGCACATTTTGGTTGTTTTCTCTCGAGATCTTCTTTATCCCGTTACCTCGGGGATAACAGCGCTGCTTTTCCCGTGATAACGAATTCATCTCTCAGGATCTCCAGAGAACGGCTGAAAAGAACCCATTGTCACAGGAAAGCAGCATCGTAATCCTGAGATAAAGAGATAAAAAGGTCTAGATGTTGACGAAACAACTGAAATGAACTCATCATCAGGTGAAAGCAGAGTTAAATGAAATGAATCGATGAATGTACGCTCAGGGCCACCGTACAGAGTCATGGTTAGACTACGATTTATTGATTAGTTTTTGGTTTACAAAAGAAAAAAATATAAATGATCTCATTAAATGTTGTACATGCAGGTACTTTGATTGTGGATAAACGGTACATTCTCACATTCATTAATGATTGTGTCTTGATGTTTATTATCGACCTAAGAAGAAGACATTCATTCTGAGATTATTTGTTGTTATTGAACTCCATGACAATAATGTATGAGCAGACAAACAAACAGCTATGACCCCTCTAAATAGTCACAGCATTGAAATAGTGATCCCAGTGTAACACTTAGTGGTATAAGTAGAGTGTGAACACGTCTGTCAGGTGTGCTTTGTGAGGAAGAATCTGTTTTTGCTGCAGCAGCAGAGGAGTTTTTTTGTTTTCTCTCCTCGATGTGTGACGTATCGCTTCAGCGAGTCGGCCTCGTGCCTGTGCTATCTCCGGCTCCGCACACTGACCCAGATTCTCCCAGGCAAACTATCGGGACGTTTTGTGTAACAAGCAGGCGGAGGAACGAGAGCAGCGAGTTCACACAGACAGACGGAGAGACAGAGAGAGGGAGAGAGGGAGGGAAAGTTCCTCAGCCATCTGTAAAGTGCTACTCAGGCAAAGAATCTTAAGTGATATGGAGCAATGCAATCTAAAAAAAAATCAATATTGGGAGTGATAGGAAGCCTGCAGAGACCCTTTGAAATACAGATTTCTTCATACTTAAAATAGATCTAAAGCTAACACTTAAACTGTTTGTTTGTTGATGACATTGTCCCATAGCAGCTCATGACTGGCAACAAAATCACAACAGAAAATAGTTCTGTGCATGATCTTGTGTAAATTGATTTAATATATACATTATTGTTTTTTTATTTTGGCAACAAGAGGCTAACACCTCAGGCTGGTGTGTGATTTGGTTGTAACTAGATGATGACATCATAACGTCATGTTACATGTGAGGTGAAAGAAGTGATGGAGATGCAGGCTGGCTGCAGGAGATCTTATTTTTGCATAATCCTGTTAACATGATCTCAAACTAAACCTTAATAGCTGGAACTTAACTTACAATATTCACATTGTCTGTAGGATTTACAGATTTTAGATAGACAGACAGACAGACATAAATTGTCCTTTGACAAAACTCAAACATTACATTAAAAAACCCAACACAAAGTACAGGCATTAAAAGAGGACTGTTAAAAACAACGGCTGCTAAAAAGTGTCTTTTTGATTTTGTTCAGGGTGGTTATTGCATTATTATCATTTTTTGTAGATGTTTTCAGGGCCAGAGGGACTTTGTAGCGATGTGATGCATTTGAAAAAATCAAAAATTTGCAAAAATATTGATGTAGAAACTATAGATCGCACATAAAACTGTGAAAAAGCCTTTGAACTCTGCTGACAAAGATGAGCGTTTTCTTGTTATTCACCGTAATTAACAAGAGGAGAAGAAATGAACGTTAATGTACTGTAATGTAGGTGTCTGAACTCTGATCAGAAAACTGCCTATAGTAATATTATGTCATTAGATAACGTTCCACCTGTTCACACTGACTGTTCACACTGACTGTTCTTCCTGCACAGCCTGCCGATGTTATTGGTCAATACAGCTTGGACTACAAACAGAAACCAGAACATTTCCTATGCTGAAGATCCAGACCCCAGTATAGCAGCACAGACCTGACATTAAAAAGATTTATTCATTATATGATTGGATGGTTAGTCAGTTGCCACAAGTCACATTTGGTAGAATAAAGTCATGTAAAAAGTTTTTGTATTGTTCCAGATAAATCAAAACTATTTTATTTATTTTTTAAATGAGAGAGATGAGCGAATCTCAAAAACCTAGAACATGTTCAGAGTGTGGAGAAATATTTGGCTCATGTTTCCACACTTCAGGAGTTATTTACACTCTGAACACATTTTAGTTTTTTAAGATTTGCTCTGATTTGAGTGCACATTATTGTTTATTTTGATGTTACCTCTCTGCATATCTTGGGATCCATGTTTTCTCATTTATTCTTGCAAAATCTGATCAAAACAAGTAAGAATTTAGAATTTATTTGTATTTATTCCACAACTTCCATTCTTGAACTGAATTATGGTTTCTTGACTTTGTTAACCTTTTAGCTGCATGTGGCACAGACTCTTCAGTTATGACGTATATGAAGGTTTCCCCAAAAATGACGTCACAATAAGCAAAAGTATTGTTGTTGGTTCTGTTTTTCTATTGCAGTTAAGTCCATCACAAAGATGTGGCACTCCGCTCATAATGATGAGAACATCTCAAAAACGTCTAAATTTGAATTAGTCTTTGATTAATATGTTTTTGGTTTATATTTAGAAAAAACCTGATCCTTTTTTTCTCAAATGTTGGACTCAATTTGAATATTTTTGTATTGTATTTGATTGTTTATGACTTAGATAACATTTAAACATATTTTAAGAGCTACAAAGTATTTGAAGATATTCCAGAAATACATCACAATAAGGAAGAATATAAATGTCCGGTTTGCTGGAGTTTCAAAATAAAATAAATCAGCTGACAAGCTCTGTGATTCCTCTCCGCTGAGTCAACAATGTAATCACTTTGAGCGGAGTGTAATCCATCTGGACCATCTGAAGGGTGGCGCTAGGGGCCAGGTGGAGGAGGTGGTGGACGTCCAGACGGCTGCAGGATTGACCCCCAAAGGTCTGAGGTCATGGGAAACAGGGGGTCAGTATGAAGATGAGAGGTCAATGTCACGGCTGGATGATCCAGAGCCGCATGTGTCCGTGCGGAGGGCGGCTGATGGAGCGATGAGGACTGATGGGTGGGTGGGAGAAAGTGTGACAGAATCAAAATTAAAAGCTACAAAGTCGAACAAAGAGAAGAGAGGAGCCAGTCGAGCCTGAAGGAGTTCACAGTCCAGCACCATGGAAGGAATGCAGGATCGGGAGAGTTTGGAGAACAGAAATTCAGTGTTTTACACGCTCGGAACAATCAGAAATACTTTATTCATCCCGGGGGGGTTTGGAAGTTATGAGGCTCTTATACAGTATATGGCAGTTGGACGTATTGTACAGAAACATGAATAAAACAAGAAATATAAAAAATAAATTAGAACAAAAGGTGCAGAGTTAATGAACTAATGTGATATATGAAAGGTGCAGTATTGAAAAGTAGAAAAAACTGAAACTAAAACTGTCGATAGTACCAAGTTAGCATAAGCGTGGATAATGTTCCACACTGACTGTTCTTCCTGCACAGCCTGCCGATGTTATTGGTCAATACAGCTTGGACTACAAACAGAAACCAGAACACTTCCCATGCTGAAGATCCAGACCCCTGTATAGCAGCACAGACCTGACATTAAAAAGATTTATTCATAATATGATTGGATGGTTAGTCAGTTGCCAAAAGTCAAATTTGGCTGCATAAATTCATGTACAAAGTTTTTTTATTGAGGATCTATCAATCAGATGTATTTCATACCCAAATATGGTCTTCTGTCTCAAACCTTCCCAGATGGTGACAGCCCAATGCCAAACTTAAGGCTTCATGTCCACAAATCAGTGAGGAACATCATGGTTACTATACTGATGTGAAAAATGTTTTCAAGGACATGTCATGCAGAAAA